TCTGAAACAAGGCTACGGCACAGCGACGTATGACGCGGCCGGCCTGGCTGGCCTAGCGAGGAGAGCGCGGCGCCGTAGCTAGAGAATAAGAGTAGAGAGGCTTGCAGCGGAAGAGGAAGAGAAGCTAAGCCCAGAGATGCCTAGCCGCAGGAAGTAGATTGACTCAATAGGAAGGATCAAGAAGATAGGATCAGAATAGGAAGAAAGGATTCAGGGATTAGACGAGAAGAGAGACGCGACTCGGATAGGAAACCGGGTTGCTTCGTCTTTGGCATAGCATCTTGGCATAGCGCCTCGATGCTATGCCCTGCTGGACTCTATGGTATGACGGGGATAAGGGGAACTGCACTGTGCTAGCAAGTGTTGTGTTCGGGGCTAGCTAGGCAACATCATCTTTCCCTTTCGGAAGTTCCCACATTCACTGCGTGGTGAATTCCGAACCTGTTACACTCTCACTGTTGCCCGACCCCTTCTCGTGCTGTATTTCCTCGCCCTGTTCCAGACACGCACGCTGTCACTTACCCAGGCTCTGGCCGAAATAACCTGTGACCCGACCCACCTCGGCTTGCGACCAACCTAGGCGGTGAGTGACCCAGGCGATTTTGCTGGTGGTTTACGCTAGAGGGAAGGTGACGCTTCTGTCAAGTATTTGTACGAGCTGAAACGGATCAATTGGCGGGCTAAGATATCAGAAACAACGTAAGGCTGATTGCGTGGCAGTACTAAGGTGGGACGGACCTAAAGCGAGGCGCCTCTCCAGGAACATCCCATGCTGATTTCTTGTTTTACATGGGAACATCAACCCGCCTGCTCCTCTTTAGTTGACCTTCTCCCCTTCCCCTTCCGTCTCACCTAATGAACGAACTTCCTCCTTCATGGCTTGACATGAGTTTTCTTGTCTTTTGTGAGTTTCTTGACCTATGAATGCCCTTGCATGTGACTGAGTGCCACGTCGTGTAGATGTCTTACCTGTGAGTGGTTTATTCTGTGAGTGTTTTTATATCCTGAGAGCGTCTCAGCCTGTGAGTGCTCCAACTTGTGACTGCCCTAACTTGTTAGTGCCGTAACTTTGAGTCTGGTTGATGTTAGTCACCTAGCCTCTGAATGGCCAGATTTGTGAGTCTTTTCATTATGCAAGTAGCCTAACCTGTGACTGGCCTAGCCTCAGGCCGACTACCTACGAGTGAGATGGTTTTTGGAGCTGTCACATTGTCGCATATTGTGAGCCTCCAGATCACCGCAATAACAATTTCAACCATTTTCCTTACAGCCAGTTACCGCTTCCAATCATATCGATTCTCTCTCCCATACCACCACTATGGCTTATGGCGGAGCAGTGGCTGACTTAGGCTACCTCCCTGCTACCCGCTTCTCCTCACTATCCGCAATGGCTGAACCAACCCTGGTTGGCTCTGAGCCAAAGCTGTGCATGCCGTGCTGGACCTGCGCGTCAAGCCTACTGCCTGAGTCAAGGAGGTTTGCAGCAAGCCGATGGGCCCCAAAGGGTGGGTTTTACGGGGGGTGCGCATAGCCAATTGCGCTGCACCTCAGGCGGGGCCTTCCTGCAAAGCGCCAGCTCACCGCGCTTCATTCCTTTCCAGGAGAGGCCACTGGAGGGCAGCGTAAACAAGAACAGTACATACTGCTGCCCTCTGTGTGCCAGCCCTGTGTGCCAGCCCTGTGTGCCAGCCCTGTGTGCCAGCCCTGTGTGCCAGCCCTGTGTGCCAGCCCTTTGTGCCAGCCCTGTGTGCCAGCCCTGTGTGCCAGCCCTGTGTGCCAGCCCTGTGTGCCAGCCCTGTGTGCCAGCGCTGTGTGCCAGCCCTTTGTGCCAGCCCTGTGTGCCAGCCCTGTGTGTCAGCCCTGTGTGCCAGCCCTGTGTGCCAGCCCTTTGTGCCAGCCCTTTGTGCCAGCCCTTTGTGCCAGCCCTTTGTGCCAGCCCCGTGTGCCAGCCCTGTGTGCCAGCCCTGTGTGCCAGCCCTGTGTGCCAGCCCTTTGTGCTAGCCCTGTGTGCCAGCCCTGTGTGCCAGCCCTGTGTGCCAGCCCTTTGTGCCAGCCCTGTGTGCCAGCCCTGTGTGCCAGCCCTTTGTGCCAGCCCTGTGTGCCAGCCCTGTGTGCCAGCCCTGTGTGCCAGCCCTTTGTGCCAGCCCTGTGTGCCAGCCCTTTGTGCCAGCCCTTTGTGCCAGCCCTTTGTGCCAGCCCTGTGTGCCAGCCCTTTGTGCCAGCCCTGTGTGCCAGCCCTGTGTGCCAGCCCTTTGTGCCAGCCCTTTGTGCCAGCCCTTTGTGCCAGCCCTCTGTGTGACAGCACCCCTGTTAACCAGCAAATTCCGACTCGTATATGCTTTCCACCCCTTGTGTTCGTGTCCTTCGTAACTCGGAGTGAATCAGTTCACATCACGAAGAACGCAAGCACTGGTTCTGTTTGAGAAAGTGTGGTAACATATATGTCTGCTCTGCTCCTCCTCCTCCCTGCTCCGCTGCCTTCTGAATTCATGCCAGCTGCAGATGTGTGTGCACAAGCCTTTCTCACAGCTTACATGTGTTGAATCTTTCTCCCAACGTCTTGTGGTCATGAATCCATCTTATTTCGCCACTCAGCTCCTCTCATACTCACATCACGTTATGCCTCGTTCCTAATGCCCATGCGAGTGTGTCTTTGTGTGTGCATCCCCCACCCCACCATTCCCAGCCATTTTCTACTTTTGCCAGGCTGCAGTGAAGGAGGTGGTGTGTTTAAGCGCCAGGATCAGTCATAGAAAAAGGGTTTTTTTTGGGAGAGTCCAGTGGATTATATGGCTAGTGAGAGCGTGATGAGTGCAGTGAATGAGTTGATCAAAGCGGAGATGGAAGCAGTGAGAGAGGAGCTGGCTGCACACAAGGAGGAGGTGAATGAGCTGCGGCACATGCTGACAGCGGTGAATGGGGAGTTGGCAACAGTTAAGGGGGAGTTGGCAGCGGTGAAGGGCGAGTTGGCAGTGGTTAAGGGGGACTTGGAAAAAAAAAGGAGCAATGGGTTGAGAGTAATAGGCCATTGGATGTAAGTGGGTTGAAAGGGAATATTAGAAAGAGAATGCACGATATGATATCGGAGTTTGTACGGGAAGAAGGCCTGAAGAAGAACGTTGAACTGAGAATCCGGCACGGTGAAGGCGATGAAAAGACTGCATGGCTGGTGAGTGAATCGTTTCTCAAGTGACGACATTCGTTGCTTGCTCGTTCTTTCTTACTGCCATGGTCATCCATTCCATTGTCATGTTTTCCCTCCCAACCATTTCCTCCAGGCACTCCAATTAGCATCATGGGACAAGGCGACCATGTTGGACCTTCAGAATCAATTTAGTCTTTCAGACGACATCCTCCGCCATGTGTCCACCATGACCCTTCTGAAGAACGCTCACTTGGGGTGGAGCAGAGGCTTCAGTGCAGAGGGCATCAAGTACCTCTACAGGCTGCCACAGCTGGAGGAGCTAGACCTCGAACGCGCAGATGTCTCAGACAGTGCCTTGGAAGGGATTGGGTATTCGACCAGTCTTAAGTACCTCTGGCTCCACGGTACCAAGGTGACAGATGCTGGTCTGCTGAACTTGACCGGCCTTCCCTCTCTCAAAGAGCTACGGCTTTCTTTCTGCGAAGGTGTGACAGATGCTGGCATGGTTCATATGGGGAGGCTGAAAGGACTTAAGAAACTCTGGCTACGTGACACAGCACTCACAGATGCTGGGTTGCAGCAGCTGAGTTCCCTGACCAAGCTAACATATATCCGGCTGCCAAATGGGAATTCGGTTTCCAATGAGGACGTGTGCAAGCGGACAGGCAGGAAGGATGGCATAGTGTGATGGGGGAGGAAGACAAGGTGCGGGAAGAGTTGAATCGGAGGAGAGGTGTGGACAGAGGGTGTGTAAAGAGCAAGGGGAGCACAGGGAGGAGTGTGCAAGTTGGTTTGGCAAGGCTTTGCATATGTAAACATCTTAGAGCAGCCTATGGTTGATTCTGTTTATAAACAGTAGTTGTAGGCATGTGTGTTTACAAGGCATTGTGCTGGTTAAGCTTTGTGGTATGCTGGAATGTAACTGGCAGAGTTGGTGTGGCTACCATGTACTGCGTATTTTGAAGAGGGCGTGCCAAGGGAGTACTGAAAATAGGGAGAACCATCTACACGGGGAATATGAAGATGGTGGCTTGGCAAGCCTTTCTCCCTACACACTACACAGCCGAGCATAATGTATTATGTGATGTGATGCCTTGTAGTCACACTCAGACATCAGGGCCTCGGACACTACAGGGCAGTTGGGCTGTCTTCCCCTTCCACAAGAGCCATATATACTGTCGGCAGATTTTGTAAAGCTCCGAATGGTCAATATGAATGAAACAACTGAAACAAATGAATCATCATGCACATCTCAAAGTGGGTATAAATGAGAGTGCATTGGCTTGCTAGAGTGTGGTGCTGGCTGGGTTCGTGTCAGCAGCATGATCCCTGGGATTACGTGAAGACAAAGAAAGTACAGTAGGAGTGCGGGAAGGGCAAAGGTTATGCATGCTCCATCACCGTATTCCCACCTCAGTCATCCTTGCCCACCGTTACGCTGGCCACCTTCACAGCAACACTTGGTGTGATGGCAGCAGCGAACAACACAGTAGAGGAGGTGATCTCTTGGCATGCTGGATGGATGGCATCCTCGTTTTGCATTGCACCCAGAGACGACTTGCATCTCATGAAGTGCTGCTGTGTGACACGTTATTGTCTCCCTCCAACCTCGAGAAGATTGTGCTGGGAGTGAGTGGGCATGAGTCAAGGGCATGGCAGAAGGGGATGAATGGGGCATGGCAGAAGGGGATGAATGGGGCATGGCAGAAGGGGATGAATGGGGCATGGCAGAAGCAATGTGTGGAACAACCCACTCACCTGCCATGTAGTCTTTCCATCGCCTAAACTCTGCCTGATGTTCCGTTCCACATTCACCTTCAGGTCTTGCACCATGTGCCCCACTCCTTGCCGGCTGTCATGGCACAGGCACCTGGCCAATCAACTCTTGCTCCCCCAGCTGGGCCCAGCTCGGCGCAAGCAGCTCCTCCTGCGAGTGGGCGAACCTGCAGCTGCTCATGTACGGGCACACGCCATCGCGGAACTTCAAGCACATCTTTGTGCGGTAGAATTGCGCCCCCCGATAACGGCAGCTCGGGCCTAAGTGGGGAGCTCTTGATGGCATACATCCTGTTTCTGGGCCACCTCCAACCCCCCCTGAACCTGCCCGTGCGCCCCCCCCTACACCGGCCCCAATTCCTCCCCCACATCCCCCTCCGCCTCCCACTCCCCCTACGCCCATACCACTAGACATCCTCCCTCTTCCCCCTCCTCCACCTCCCCATCCGCAAGGCCCACCCATTCCCCCTGGACTAGGGCCGTATCCCATGTTCAACCCGATTCCTCCCGCTCCACCCGTTCCCATCCCCATACCCCCGCCCATGCCTATGTTCCCCATGTTCCCCATCCCCACCATACCCCCCATTCCCCACCCGCCCCCGCCTCCCCCTCCCCGCGCCTCCCCATCCATGCCAGAACCCATGCCTGCACGCATACCTCCAGGACCCATACCAGGCCCCGGCCCTCCCATACCTCCAGAACCCATACCAGACCCCCACCCTCCCATACCTCCAGGCCCGGCCATGCCTCCCATGCCAGGTACGGATCCCGCCTGCACGTCACATCCCGCCCATACTAACTCTGTCGTCATTTCTTGCCTCCTCTTTCTACTCTTCCCTTTCAGTCCTCTTGCATTCGATGCCCTTTTACTCTCTGCCAATTGCTCTGCCATAGCCTCCTTGTGTTCTGCCAACTCCCCCTTAACCACTGCCAACTCCCCTTCAACCACTCCCAACTCCTCTTTAACCACTGGCAACTCCCCCTTAGCTGCTGGCAACTCCCGTTTAACCACTGGAAACTCCAACTTAACCGCTGCCAACTCCCCCTTAACCACTGCCAACTCCCCCTAAACCGTTGCCAACTCCTCCTGCACTGCTGTCAACTTGTGGCGCAGCTCATCCACCTCCTCCTCGTGTGCACCAAGCTCCTCTCTCACTGCTGCCAACTCTCTCTCTCCTCCTCCTTCACCACCACAGCAGTCGCCTCGATCCTCTCTTCTGCAACAATCAACATGTGCTGCACCTCATCCACCTCCTCCTTGTGCGCAGCCAGCTCCTCTCTCACTGCTGCCAGCACCGCCTCTTTGATCAACTCGTGTGCTGCACTCAGCGCTCGCTCACCAGCCATATCATCCACTCACTCCCCTCAGACAGCCGTCCTTCAATGGCTGATCCCTCTGCGTTCAACTAGACGTTTCACTCCAGGCTGGCGAAAGCAGACACGTGCAACCCGGGGGGTAGGGCAGGGTTGAGTGTCGTGGAAAAGGAAAAACGTAAAAAGAACAGAGGGACAAAGGGCGTGGTCAGCACACAAACAATACCGATTGCACGGACGTGAGGGATAAGGCAGTGATGGGAGCAAGAATATAAGGAGCAGAGAAAGAGGGATACTTGACTGCGGGATATTTGACTGGCATACAGAGGGCTGGTGCACAGAGGACTGAAAGAGGAGAGAAGCAAAAGCGACCTATGTTCATAATACACACCACAGTATCATGGGGTGGGAGATTTGAAGTGAGTGGGAGGGTCATTGGTGGTAAGGAGAGAGATTGAAATAACTCTGGGGTGACCTGGAGGCTGGGGGGTCTGAATTAGCTACTGTTCAAACATGTGATAGCTGGAACCATCATGTTCGCTGGTGGTTGGTTAGAAGCTAGGTCATTCACAGAACTAGACACTCAGTAACAAGCTAGGTCAAACACATGCTAGGTCAACAACAACCTTGTTAAACTCACACGCTAGGCTATGTAGGTTACAACCTTGGTCAGTCACACACTAGGCTGGTAACAGCCTTGGTCACTCCCGGGCTATGGCAGTGTAGGCTAGGCCAGTCACGATTTAGGACAGTTTAAGTTAGGTTACTACCTGGAAATTTCTTTAAGACTCTAGGTCCAAGCTAGGTCCCTCACTTCAGAGCCGATGCTAAGTCAGATGCTATGACCGCCTCACTTCACAGCAAGAGCCTGGGAGAGAAGTAGGTCACAGGCTAGGTCAATCACATCACATGCTATGTATGTCAAGTCTCACGCATGCAAGGTATTGTTGGCCGGGTCTCAAATATGCTACGTCAATGATCAACATGAGGCTAGGACAGCCACAGGGTAGGGTAGGTCACTCACAAGCTAACTCACTCACAGGCTAGGGCAGTTACAAGCTTGGTCAGTCAGTCACACGGCGAGGCCTATAACGAGCTATGTCAGTCAAACCTAGAACAGTACCCTAGGTGGTCAATAACAGGCAAAGTTGTGCACAGGGTAGGCCAGTCACAGTATAGGACAGCTGTATGCTAGGCTAGACACAGGTTAGGTAGGTCAGTCATGAGCTATGTAAGCCGCATGCTAGGTCACTTATAGAGGAGGTAAGTTGGAGCATCGGACACTAAGTCAGACACTAACATGATCGATCAGTCACAAGCTCGGGCAGTCATGAGTTGAGTTGAGGCAGCCACAAGGCAGGACCAGAGTTGGGTTCATCAGAGATTGAGTACTATGCAAGTTTTGTCAGGCATTGGCTAGGTCAGTCACAGGCTAGTTCAGTCATAGCCTTCAGCTGTGAGATGCAACCCGCGCTAGGAAATACACATTGCACTATGCAAAAACATCACAGGCTGGCTAAGGAAAAGCTGTTTTCTACGACAACTAATCTCCTTCCCCTAATCCAGGCACCTGAAACTATGCAAAGTGAGAGGCTACGTGGTCACTAGCTACATGAGCCACAAGCTGAGTCCCCCACATAATAGATCAGTTGTACAAGTTGGGTCAAAGCAGTGGCTAGGTCAGTCACAAGTTAGGTCAGGCACGCCTAGGTGTTAGGTCAGTTATAACATCTCGCTACCCAGTGGGTCAAAACGAGGTGGCGCAGCGGAATGCCAATTAGCCGGCCCACAGGCGTTACATCAGTCATGGACAATATCACCCACAGACTGGGTCAGTCACGCGACAGCGTTACCGCCTGACCCAGGGCGAGGGAAAGTAGCACGAGATGACGCCAGGTCTTATTATTCTCAAATTCGACATGATGTAAGCGCGTTGCACATCGGGTTCTCCCACAACTACGGGCATCACTGTTCGTAGGTTGGTGATGCTTACAATGCGGAAGACCAAGACCAGGGACAGAAAAAGCGAGGCTCAGGAGCCAAAAGAAGAATCGTACCTTTATCTAGGGTTCCCTGGAATATGGCGTTTTCGCGGCTCTTGGAGGACTGGGAAGCGCCGAGCAAACAGGATACGAGCGGCAACGAGTGGACGACGCCGTTCTACCGCTGTGATACTTCGTATTACCTCGTTCTAACGATGGGGGCAATGCCCCTTCTACGATGGCGTCAGTCGCGTCACGTCACGATACGCTGCTTGGCTTAGCGGAAAATTTCAGGAATCAGGAGTCCGAAATGAGAATTGTGTCACAGATCGGCCACCCTGTTTCTCGATACTAACAAGTCATCGAGCTTCGTTGTCACGATTCCCTCCCTGCGAACACCTGGAAGGCCGTCGCGAAATTTCCGAAACATGTTTCGCTCAATGTTGAAAGTGGGTCATTCCCTTTCACGAACACGGCTCGAAGAAAGAGGTCGAGTCGGCTCGGACTAGACCTATGGTAACTAGGTATGAGGAGATCAGTTTTGGGGTCGAACACATTGACCAAACCAGTTTCGATATACTGTAGTTTTCAACCTAGAAGGAACTCCTCCTTGGTGTCCATCTCCAACGGTCGTCTACTCTTCATTCCCACTATCTGCAAACGACATGACGTGACGATAGAGCAATAGTTAGTCCATTCAATGACGACCGGCTAGACAGAACTGCGCGAGATGCGGATTCCACCTCTATTCGTCATTGCACGCACCTGTAGCGTTACACCTCCACCATTACCCGTTTCCGCCGTGGCACCGCAATGCTGACGTCAGCCAAGTCGCGCCGCTGCCAGGTCCTCCCATCACACCTCGCGTCGCAGCGCGTTCGTGCGGCGTTAACATTCAATAACCTCGCTGCCGTGCGGCGCCCTCCCCAACCGCTAATCCCAACAGGTATTTCAGCTGCGTCCACTCGCAAATATTCAGCCCAGCCGTCCATTAAAATACTGCGGCCATTTATTCCACACCGACACTCGTGATCGCCTTTCAATCACTCGAATCCTGCGCTTAGCACGGAAAATTGAAGAAATAGGGTAAGGTTATGATGATCCGAAGGCAGATTGTGCGGTGCTCGTTTACCATTTCCCTGTTTCCATGTCCTGGTTCACTCACAATAAACGTTTTGCTTGCTGTACTTTCAGGCCCAGCTTAATTGTCCATATTGATTCGGAGCAACTGTCATTCCGCTTTTGCCGCATCTGCTGCCGCTATATGTTAAAGTAGCAAATTGAACAAGTGGCTTGATTAGAGGATAAACCTAGCATACATAGTTGGAAGAGAGGCTTGGAAGAGAAGGGTGAAGGTGACCATAGGTTCGGTTGACCTCACTTGTAGAAGTGAGGCAACCCTAGGCCCACTTGGCTTGAGATGACCTCACTTGTGGGAAGTGATGCACCCATAAGCCAAGTGGGTTGCATTTGGGGGCTCCACCACAATTGGGATAGTATACCTCAGCCGACGAAAACCGCCGCCCAATTTCGCGGTTGCGATAGGACAACGAACCCCCTCGGGATTGACGAGCTCCTGACGACTTGCGAGTGGCAAACTGGGGCGACCTGGCAGTCCTCCGAGGCTCTGAACCCCTCGGGATTGTCGACTATCTGACGACCTCGGGTTTCGCTGAGAGAAACCCGAGAAGGATACCTCAGCGGACCCTGAACCACAGCTCGACACGTTGTGCGCCGAGCCGCGGTTACTGCCACGTGGCTTAGTAGGGACGGCCGAGATCGAGCCTGACAATCGGGAGGTGCCACGACGGCGCCGACGTGGCCCCGCTTCGCACCACCGGGTATATTTCGCTGCGCGCGAAACCTGGCGCGCCGACGAAAAAGGTAACCATCGTCCACGCGGCGAAAGACGACTGGGATGGTATACCTCGGCGAAGAGAGCCCCAGAGTCAGGGAATGTCGGCGTCGACCAAGCCTCCGGCCACGCGCCTACTCGCAGGTCGATGAGGCTTGCGCGGGAGAGCAGGACGCTACGGCATTTCGGGAGAGTGGAACTAGGTCATTGGCCTATTGCACGTGGCGCACGTGAATTCCACCGTGGCAAGGCACCGGCGGGAGTGCCGTTGAGCGCAGAGCGGCGTGACACTAGACATGCATCGATCGTGACACGTCATGCCCGTGCACAGCGGCGCTTGCAAAGAGGGCTGCGTGGAGCGCGGCAGGTGCGCAGTGGCTCGCAACCATACCCCTCCTTGACCACGCACAACGCTCTCATTCTGCCGGTTCAGCTTCGTGTTTCTCTCATGCTCCTGTGCGCCATCTAGCACTTCGTTTTCTTCACAGGACCCTCGCTATCTCTGCGGGTGTAGGTTACTCGACGGCCGAGTCGACCGAGCGGCGGCACAAAGGCGACGACCTGGAATAGACTGCCATAGGTCGGTGTTGGGGTCGACCATCGTCGACTTCGCCTTACTAGGTTCTAGGTCGTCATCTAGGAAAGTCGGCGACGATAGATCAGGGCGACGATAGCATCTCCCAACCTTACCGAGTCGGCGACGCGTGGCCAGAGGAAGGGCTAGTGCCCAACAGCCACAACAACTTATCCCACCCCCCGCCGATTCGGTAGACGACGACATCAAAGCGCAACTGGAACGACTCGAGGTCGACGCTGAGTTAGAAGCACTTGAGAGGGAATTTGAGGAAGACAGCCGCAGGACGATTAGGGCGTACACCGCACCCGTGAATCAGTACCATCTCTGGTTGACCAATCTTTCCCTCTTCCACGGCCGGCGGTAGAGCATACGAGCGGTCATGGACGACGTCGACATGCCCGACGTTGGTACCCCAACCGACCACAGTCCGTCCTCTGCCCCCGTAGAGACGCTGAAGTTGCTTTACGATCTTGACAAACTTACTCAGATTCCCGAAGGGGAGTACACCAAGGACATACCGAATCCGCCAATTGGGGAGTTTACGAAGAAGTCGACACCGACGGCAGATGGGCAGACTGGACCTTCGTCGGTGCCCGCCGGCTCGGAAAACCAAGGGGATAACGACGAGGAGGACGAGGAAGAGAGCGACGACGAAGTCGACGACCGTCCTCCGCGTAGCACGAATCCGCGCACCTTGGAAGAACGCCTTAGGCGGGAATTCGAATACATACGTGACATGCTCGACGCGGACGAGAAGGAGGACGATCAGCACATGGCGGTGCCGCGCGAAGGGTGGAAGGCGACGGACTTTGTAGTGGACGACATGGTGTACTCCAGCATTGACGTGCTCATAATGGACGCCCTACGACACCTACAATGCTTGGAGAAGAATAGCACGCTTAGGCTGTACACCGCGTTCATCTACCACTACAAGAAGTGGGCGGCGAAGATGCTGAAGCAGCTACGCGACAAGCTACCCCATGAGCAACGACTTAGGCACGTCGACGAGATCGGCCACTACATCCGCGACAACAAGAAAGAGGATTGGTGCAACGAGAAAGTGGTCCGCCGACAGTACATCTGGCTGCACGGCCCTAGGGTCACCGAAACCCGGCTGCGCGCCTACGTGAAGCAAATGAGCCGTGAGTGTAACCTCATTGTTGACCAGCCCGGGGAGGAGAACAATGCCACGCGAACGGGGCCTGTGAGGTCGACAACTGTGCACACAATCCTCGGCCGGATAAAGGCATGCCAGATGGCGGCGAGGGTGGAGGCGACGCTGTACCGAGAGAAGGAGCTGGGCCTCATGAGGGAGATCTCGGTGGTGAGATCGGAGGTGCGGTTCAACGTCCGCCACAAGAACGAGAGGGACCTCAAGTAAGTTGGTCGACAACCTTATTATATATCACTGTGCACTGTGAAGTCGACGCAGTCTAACAGATTTTCCCCGCCGATTTGCGTTCAGGAACTGCGCCGACCGTCGACGCGGCACCATCGGCGATACCTACACCGCCGAGCAGTTCCGCCAGATCATGATGAGGGTGCTGCCGACATGGGCGGCGGCGGCGTGGAACCCGCGGGCTACCACTCCGTCGCAGACGCTGTGGCGATTCCTGCTCATCAAGGTGCTCACGCTACTCTCCCACCACACTCTCCTGCGCGGCGGCAGCATCCGCGAGATCACGCTCCCCGACATCTTCTTGTACCACCTGGCGAGCACCTCGGAGGTGAACCCGGATAGCCAGCCGGTCGTCATGGTGATCGCCGCGCGTAACTCGAAGACTTCCAAGGATGCCCGTCTTCAGCAGAGCTACGCTGCGCGACACCTGGAAGCGGAGCTGTGCGCCGTCGGCGAGACCGGCCTGTGGCTGCACTTCATCCTCGACCAGATCGGTCAGTTCTCCGGCACCGACTTTCTTTCGCCGCTTGACATCACAGAACGCGAACGCTGGTACAAGAAGCATCTCTTCTTCGCCAGAAACGACAAGGAGCAGGAGGAGCTCTCCTCCGCCACCCACCAACGTTGGACTCGGCAGGTGTGGACGACCAACAAGGTGTTCTGCAAAAGGAACGTGCACGCCGCCCGCGCCGGAGGTGCGCAGGAGTTAGCCATCGGAGGGACGCCGCGCGCCCAGATCGCCGAGCTGGGACACTGGGCTCTCGACAAGATGACGCGTGCGTACATCACGGCCATTCCCGTTGGGGTGGTGATGCAGAAGGCCGGCTACTCGGAACTCAAGCAAGACTACTTCTTGGGGCGCAGCAGGGTCGAGCCCTCTGACAAACTCCTGGACCTGCTCGCCGAGCACATCTTCCCCGGCGTGGATGCTATGCTGCACGATGTATGTCACGCGACGCCGACAATGTATTTCAGTCGTCGTGGCCTAGTTGGCTGCCCAACTCCCTACTAACCCACGCCACTTTCCGACTTGCAGGCGGAGACGCGTGCCGTCAACGGGAGCGACGCCGCTGCAGCCGCAGTGCACTTCTTGCGCACCCTCGTGATGTTCCGACGAATCGTCGCCGAGGACCTCGCGGTGAAGCTCGTCCGCACACCGTGGCACCTGTACGTCCAAGGTTCCAAGCTCTGCAGGATTGCCCTCTTCCAGCACTGGGCGAAAAGGGTCGAGTCGGTCGACACCGATACGATCAAAAAGCGCCGGGACCCGACTCAGATACAACCGGAGGTGAGTTGCCGACCATGTCGGCGTTGTTGGATTTTAGCCGGTGAATTCTAACCTCTTGTCGCCTTTCCGCACACCCAACATTGCAGGAAATATCCGTGCGCATGGACACCCAGTATCACAACATGTCCCTCAAGGAGGCGCTGAAGAAGGAGGTCGAGCGCTCGGCGCTCGAGAAGCTAGGCTTTCAGGAGACGATCGAGAAGCAAAACGACACCATCGCGTCGCTCACCGCTGAGCTTGCTCGACTCACTAAGGCACTCCGTGTGTCAGAAGCCCGGAGGATGCCGGCGGCGCCGACGTCGGCTACCGATCAAACTCCGGGCGAAGGTGGCTCCGCGGATTCGGCCAACACGGGGACCGGAGCCAAGAGAGATGATGGGAAACCCCCGCCACCCCCCCAGACGGCAGAGGAGGCCAGTTACGAGCTCAACGTCGTGCAACCTTGGCGGGATTCAAAGACCGTGCGGGACGCTTGGCGCCTCTGGAACTCCGCCACCGCCAATGACACCCGTCGTCTTTGCGACAGGGTCGCCGAGCCGGGCTTCATCGACCGCCACACCCTCCTCAAAGGCGCGACCTAGGGTGCACTCAACATGAGGGTGCGCCGCATGCTGAAGGCCATGGATGCGGTGCGCCAGCTACGCGCGAGCGACGGCGATGCCGACACCGAAGCCGTGGTCGATGCACTGAACACGATCGCGGCACCGGGCATTGGTACCTTCTGCGATGCCCTCACGGTGCTCAACCCGGTGACGGCACCGACGATGTCCAAGGAGCCTGGCATGGGCGTCAAGGGGCTTGGCCCCAAGGTGGTCTCGAAGCTACGCCTCGCCTGTGCGCTGGTGGCGCTCGAGCTGAAGCCGACGACGTGGGTCGACCGCCTGTTTCCAGACACCTGGGAGGAGCAGATGCCGAAGACCGTGGCCGACTTGGCCAAGCAGACCGCACCTGCGCAGCGTCCTCCGTCAAAGCGCAAGAAGTCGGCATGAAGATCCTCGGTGTATATGTGTTAGCGTAGGTTGATGATACGTTAATTTAGCAAACCGTTGTGTTCCCATCGTACTTGTTCATTTTGATGCAACACGAACATACAAGATCCAACACATGATATGTCGGACTCCGACATAGTCGCCACCATGTGTGTGCAATTCATTGTGCCTTATTCATGTCGACATCGCTGACTGCATGCAAACGGCGCAAACGGCGCCCATCACGCTATAACCGAGCAATCATACCACCTAGCGCTCCTTCCGCGCGCCGACTACGCATCCGTGCTGTCCATGCCCGCTCGATATGCGCGTCAAACGGCACATCGATGCCGACCTCCTAGAGTTTCGGCCACCTGGGCGGCGCGGCACATTCCCCAAAGCGCCGACCATAGACCATCTCGGCCTAGCCGACGATGCTCATCGCCGAGTATATACATGCATACAGCCAGACGCACTATGTCGACACCGTACGACGGGGTTCATCGAACCGGGGCCCGCATTTGAGTAACATGGTAGATATCAGGTCGACCTTGCCGAGGAGTGTTCTAGTAACATGCATTACCAAAAAGTTACAGCCAACAAAAGAAATCCCAACGAAAACTATACAATCACACGGAAAAAACAATCCCAAAAAAACCACATAATCGACGCCGCCCATACCAGGCCATCCTTGCAAGAAGACCTACTTGCGCTCCCTCCGGCCGCCCATGGCAGATTGTTATGCCGACTACGCCGCCGTGCTGTCCTTGCCCGCTCTGCCTTTCCCCTTCTTCCCCGAGCTGTCCTTGCCCTGCTTGCCCCTCGGCCTCTTCCTCCCCCTGTGCTCGATGTCGTACTCCATCTGCGCATCCAGCGGCACCGCGATGCCGATCTTCCTGAGTTTCGGCCCATCCACGGGGCACATCCCCCAGAACGCGAGGGTTTCCACTGTCGCTCGTGCGATCACTTTGGCCTCGGGTTCAACATCCAACCCCGAATAGGCTCTGGCCAGAGCGGTGGACTCAAGCGCCGGTGCGACGTTGTGCGCAACCTCCCCAAGGGGTTGCTGCCTGCTGATCGCCACCTCCAGCACCGCCGACATGACGTTCTTGAACTCGGCGGCGGTAGCCTCGCTGGCGCCGACCAACATCGCCGCCGCCTTCCCTTCGTGGACGGCATCAGCCACCTGGGCGCCGTCGCCCTCGACTAAGCACCACAGTGCGCAAGCTGAGGCCGACAGCGCCTGTGCGACCTTCGCCGTCTTCTGATCCGTGTCGCCCTCCATTCTCGCCGCGGATGCAGCGACCTCCCCATACGCCGCGCACAAGGACACGCGATCAAGCATGGCCGACATCATTGCATCCGACTTCCCGTCGGCATCGACAGATCGCGGGCAAAAGCGTGTCGTGGTGCGCATCGCCTGATGTCTTGTACGCTCTATACTTCCCGAGGATGTCGTCGAACCTGTCACGCAATCACACGAAACTGGCCGTTAGGAACGCCGACGTTGACATCATAGCTTGGCCGACGTTTATCCAACTTACCGTGTCCTTGGGAGAAACGCGCCCCTTGCCCAGATCACCGTCCACATCCCAGTCGGCAAGAACCGGACTTCCTTCCACACCGCCCTCCACTGCTTCATCACTGTTTCCTCCAGGCCGGTGAGCTCGGCCATGAGGATCTTGCTGACGAAACCGTCGTACAGGAGGTACACAATGGAGTGAAGGTACGCCAGCTCCATCTTGTCGCGGGACTTGCCGATGTATCTGCTCTCGTTCCCGACCACCTTGATCTCGCCCACCCACCCTTGCTTGTCGCCCGTCGAGTCGTGGCGGATGCCATGACCCTTCCGTTCTTTCACCTTCACCTTCTCCTCCTCCGTCGCCGCCTCCTCCTCCTCCAGCTTCTTCTCCTCCGCCTCCTCCACCTTCTCCTCCTCCTCCTCCTCCTCCTTCTCCTTCTCCTTCTCCTCCTCCTCCTTCTCCTTCTCCTCCTCCGTCTCCTTCTCCTTCTCCTTCTCCTTCTCCTTCTCCTTCTCCTTCTTCTCCTCCTCCTCCTTCTCCTCCTCCTTCTTCTCCTTCTCCACCATCGCCGTCGCCATCCCCTGTCCTTTCTGCACCGACTTCACCATCGCCGACGTCGCCCGTGTTTTCTTCTTCGAGCTCGGCCTCGCTTTCCCTGCGTCGACCGTCCCCTTCCGTTTCGACTTTCCCGCGCTGACCGCAGCAGTGGTCGTCTTTGGCTCCGCTGTACAGCCGGTGGGACTCGCCGAGTCCAAGATGGCCAGCACAGGGGGCTGCTTGGGGCGGTTTACCGCTTCCAACAGGTCCTGGATGGCAGCGATATCGGCGTCGTTGTGGTCCTTCGCCGCCTGTGCAGGGTCAACTGATCTGCCGCCCGTGGCTAGCGCTGCACTCACGCCCTTCTCCGCCACCGCCTCGATAGTAGCCGCACCGAGTGTGTGTGCAGCTACGGTCACCGACGTCGGCGTCGCGCATGAGCTGGATACCGGCTGAGCCCGTGCCGGCGCAGCCGCAGAACGTACGCCTAACTGGGCGCGAAGCAACGCGGACTTTGGGTCCACAGGAGGACGGGCGGCGATGATAGGCGCGGTAGGTGGGGCACTGGACGTTGTGGCGGCGACCTGGGGAGTGACCGAGCGACGTGCTGTTGTGGCCGGCGCGGTGCCGACCACGGGAGGCTGCTGCACGTCCTGTCGATGGGTCTCCATGCGGCTGAGCATCTCCCTGAGCGCGTTTGCCTTTGGGGCGGACGGACCAGCGCGGTTAGCCGCAGCATCCACCGCGTCAACCTTGGCGGCAGACGTGCCTGCTGGTGCTGGAGTAGCCGCAAGGGACGGCCCATCGTTGTTGGCGGTTGACGGGGCGACCGGCGCGCTGCTAGCCGCAGGGGGTTTGCGGGGGATCGACGTGGTCCCCGCCACTCCGACGGACGGTCCTTTGACGGTTTTGGCGCCGCCATCTATCGCCGTTGGTGCGGTCGCTAGACTGGCCGGCTTCTCGGCGACCAATGGCGGGGCTGTTGGTCCAGCCTCTTGAGCGGCAACCTGGTCGGCAGGGCCCCCCTCCGCACTCCTGATTCCATCGCCCTTGCTGTGCGTCCTTATCACCTTGGCCCCGTTCTTCTTCAGCTGGCCGACCACGCTCGTACCTCCGCTCCCATCGGCTCCCTTGCTCCGCGAGCCGCCTGGAGCCACCTGGCCGACGCCGCGGCTCCCATCGGCTCCCTTGCTCCGCTTCGAGCTCAACGCATCGTCTCCGCCGCCCGCCCTTTTCGCACCCTTCTTGTCGGCCTCGTTGTCCGACGGCGACGACCCATGCCGACCAGGCGCCAGATGGCCGATCACCTGGGTCATGAGGTTTAACCCGGACGCAGCAAACGACTGCTGGGTGGCCTCAGTCACCGCCTTCAACACGTCCGCCTTGAAAGACTTCATGAGCTCGTCCGGGAAGGCTGGCGGTGGGGCGGGCTGCGTGGGCGGCGGGACGGCGACGCGTTGAGTTACGGCGGCGGCGATGTTGGTCTGCGCGGCGACTAGGTGCTTCGATATGTATTCCTCCAATCCCTTCCTCGCTTCGTCCACGTGGTTGCCCAGGGCGACGACCGCGTTCGCACGTTGCACCGCCATAACCCCCTCCGGATTCTCTAGATCGTCCAACCAGCTCTCCGCCCTCTCGGCGTACGCCTTCATCGCCTCCCATGCTTCACCCATGTTGGCAGTGATGTTCTCCGTCACGGTCGTCGCCATGGTCAAGGACGCGTCCATCAGCCGACTCGACGCGTCCTGGCCGGAGGCGGCGACCTGGTCGGCCAACGACCTGAGCTTGTCCACGAGGTGGCCAATCCCCATCGCGAACCTGTCCACCCGACCCCTCTCCACTCCGAGCGCCGTCTCGAGACGAGCATTTTCAGCCCTCAGCCACATGTTCTCCTGTCGCAGCTGCGCGACGACGGCCGGCGTTGCCTGCCGACCAGCTGCTGAGGAACCCGGTTGACGGCCCGCCTCTACCGCTCCACCCCGGCGTTCCACCCCTGCGTTCCCTGTGGTGGTCTCCACGCCCGTCGGCGTCGGGGATGCGACGTTATCCTCCTCCTTCGCGTCGCCAACCACATTGCCGACCACGTGCGCCTCCTCCACGCCGACATTCTCCACATCGGCACCCTCCCCTCGCACGTACACAACATCCGCCGACATCCCGCCCGTTCCCTCCACGGCCGCCGCCGCTCCCTCCACGGCCACCGCCGCCGCTCCCTCAACATCCTCCATCTCGAATTCGACCCAGGGGAACTCTACCTCCTCCTCCCCCTCTTGCTGCTTCTCCCCCTCCGCCACCTGCTCCACCGACCCGAAACCCTGCTCCACGGCCTCCGCCGCCGCCGCCTCCTTGTCCTCCTCCTCCTCCTCATCATCCTCCTCCTCCTCCTCCTCGTCCTCCTCCTCCTCCTCCTCCTCCTCCTCCTCCTCCTCCTCCTCCTCCTGCCCATGCCCCTGCTCACGCTCCTCACGATCCTCCTCGTTATCATCCTGATCGTCGGTGTCATCCTCCTCCTCCTCCTTTTCCTGATCCGCGGTCCTCGCCACAGCCCTCTCTGCCTCCTCATCTGCCTTGTCGACGCCGTCTCCGGCCTCTCCGCTTGTGTCGGCGACACCGACTGCTTGGGATGCCGAAGGGGGCTCCGCGGCGTCGTCTTCACAGGCATCGGCACCAACTCCGACATGGCCTGACCGTCTGCGTGCGACGTGTTCCTTGATGTATGTCATCATCCGAATCCGCAGCTCCTTCAACCCCGAAACGAGGACCTTGTCCATGCTGGTCGCACTGCGACGGTCGTCGCCGGTCAGGCGATCCATCCTCTTCACCACCCAGCACAGCGCGCTCATTGAGAGGAGGCCAGAGCCTGCGTCGCCGTCCCGGACGGTGTCGCGCATTTTCTGCAAACAACAGAGGAGAGAGCAAGGATGAGCACCGACGGCGGCGATGGCATCGCGCTAGGACGGTAAAACGATCGGTACTCACATCTCGAACGGGTTCATTGAAGTCGGCGAGCCTGGCCGCCACCTCTTCAGCAGAAGGCTTCGGCCACTCCCAGTGCCGGCCATCGCGGCCGAGCTCGGCCAGCACCGCCGCCCGGAAAAACCTGAAGCAACATGGCACATATCGTCAGTAGACTTGCTTAACGCCCAGCGGCGAAATTGCATGCGTCGTCGACTACACTATCGAGCTCACTTCAGCACGCGGATCGCCTCGTCGCGGTGCCACTGCTTCACGGTTTGCGGGTCGAAGTGCCGGACAGAGGTCCTGATCGTCTCTCCCCCGGCCCGCAACAAGTCGCCGGGGTACAGGATGACCACGACGCTGCAATGTGCCCCTGGAAGCGGTGCGATGCTGCACAGGCTAGGCACCACGACGTCGATCAGAACGGAGCAGCGACATAAGGCATCAAGGCACACCATCATGACTTAGGCTCACCTCGAATGCAGAGGGATAACAGCTACGTCGGCGTCGAACACCGTTGCAAAGCATGAGTGGTCTTCCTTGCCCATCGCCGCCCGAAGCCGGCCGAGTCCTATCGACCACAATCGCATGTTGGCCGGCGCCGCGCGAATCCATGCGTACCTGCACGCATGCATGGGTAGTAGATGTGTTTGAGGACGTGCACGGCACGACGGATGGACACGTGGGTTCTGGAACCGACAACTGACGGGGATGGCTAGAGTAGAACGGTGCACCACCGTCGCTACGTTGTAATCAATGGCGCATACCGATGCGGGCACCGACCTACTGTAGTGATCGGAGTACGATGCCTACCTACGGCTGCGTGCGTCACCGAGTAGTGATCTAAACCCTAACGTGGGACAACCCTATCGACGTCGACCTGCAAGGTATCCAGCGGTCGACGTCGACATCCCAATACGGACACTCACTTGAGGCCGAATCCCAAGCAACGGGCGTTGAACTCTAGCCTATGGTCTACGAGGACGGCGTAGTCGTGTTCGTCGAGCTTGGCAGTCAGTCCACTGCCCAGGTCGAGATACAGAGGGAAGTCCTGCGAAGTCGGCGTCACTTCGCCGAGTTTCGTGGCGGCCGACATGGCGGGGAAGGGAAGCGGCTAAGGGACGTGAAATGTGGGAGAAGGCGCAGAGCTGGGGAAAAGGTGGAAAGGGAAACGAGATGCCGAAAATGAGGAGCTATGCCCCCTTCCACCAAGAAAAGGGGGTCGGTGCCCCACAGGAACGGTCGAGGCATCGCCCGGCCCTCGTGGTGCCTGCCTCGGCGGGGTTTGGCACAAGTCCTCCACAAGTGGCACAAGTCCTCGTTCGCCGCCGAGCCAGCAAGTCGATGTCACGCCCCGAAGCAAAAAACGTGCGCCGCGAAGCGATCGACATCGAATTCGCGATGTCCCGAATTGAGTTCGCAATGTATCAAATTCTGCATGTTGCCCGATGCGAAGCAGGCGGGCGAACACGTGGCGTCGCCGCAACGGGTCGCGAAATTGTCGAGCGTCCCGAGGGGGCCCCGACATTTCGCCCGGCCCTCGCCTGCCCGTCCGGGCAGGCCGCGATGGGTTACTAGGACCTCGCGGGCAGGTGGCGCGCGTGGGCTGCCTTCGCGCGAGGGTAATTTTCCCACGCGCGAGGTGTCGCCAGTTCGCCGACCCCACCCGGTAACGTGGGCCGCTGTTCACGTTCGGGGCGGGGCCGCGGGGCGGCGGTCGTGCGCTCGGGCCAGCCCTGGGCCAGGCTGGCGGGCCCGCACGCGCGTCAGTGCTCCGCCTCGTCGGCCCAGGCTTCGACGACCCCCCTCGTCGACACTGGCAACTCGGGTCCGTCGACCGAATTCCGCTGGGGTGTTCGGGTGGATTGGCACCGCAAAGTGCAAGACTACACCCAAAGTTGGGTGTAGTCCCAACCCAACTGTACACCACAATTGGTGTACAGTCACATGTGTTGGCATGCTACACAACATATATTTTAACACAACCCCTTAGCATGCTAACACAGGAAGAGAACAACCCCTGAATCAAGGGGCGCCCGGGCGAGCGAGGCCAATGAGGCGGAGGAAAGCAGAGTGCGCAGGGCGAAGGAGGGCCTTAGTGAAGATGTCGGCCAAGTTGGCCTCGGTCGCAATCTTGCGAACGGCAATAAGGCCCTTCTGGACGAGCTCGCGAATGAAAAAGTAGCGGAGCTCGATGTGTTTGGAGCGGGCGTGATAGACGGGGTCCTGAGTGAGATGGATGGTGCTGGCATTGTCGCACCGGAGGGTGGGGCACGTCTGGGGGGCGCCAAGCTCTGCAAGAAGGAAACAAAGCCAGCGGGACTCCTGGGCGGCCATGGTGCTAGCGTAGAGCTCGGCCTCGCAGGTGGAGAGAGAGATGGCGGAGGAGCGGGTGGAGCGCCCGCTGATGAGGCCACTGCCAAGGGTGAAGCCGTAGCCCTGGGAGGAGCGGCGGTCCGGCTGCGTGTCAGCACAAGAGGAGTCACTGAAGCCCGAGAGAAGAGGAGGGGAAGGTCCGCCAAGGGTGAGGGCAAGGTCCTTGGTCCTGGGAAGTTAGCAGAGGACCCGCTTGGCAGCTTTCCAGTGCTCCTCAGTGTGACGACCGGTGCCGACAAAGCGGTCGAGCACGCTGATGGGGTAGGCGAGGACAGGGCGGGTGCACATCATCGCGTACATCAGGGACCCAACGAGCTCGGCATAGGGGTGGGGGAAGGAGGTGGGGGAGGAGGGTGGTGCGAGTTGGTGGCCGAAAGGGAGGGGGTGGAGACAGGCTTGGCCTGCGCCATGTCGAACTTCTCCAAGACCTGGCCGATGTAGTGGGACTGTGAGAGGGTGATGGTGCGAGCAGGGCGGTTGCGCGTGATGGCCATGCCCAGGTAGTGAGTGAGGGCGCCAAGGTCTTTGCACTTGAGACGCTGCTGCAGGAACAGCTTCATCTGCTCCATGTCGGCCCTGCTGTCAGAGAGCAGGATCATGTCGTCCACATACACCAGAATGAAGAATCGGCGGGGGGAGGAGCGGATGAAGAGGCTGGCGACGGAGTGGGAAGCAGAGAAGCCGAGAGACCCTAAGGTGGCAGCCAGCTTTGCATGCCACCCACGCGGTGCCTGTTTCAAACCGTAGACAGGGTGGCGCAGCTGCCAGACAGTGTTCTCAGGGAAGGCTGCGTGGAACCCGGGGGGTCGCCGGAGGAAAATGCGCTCGTGCAGGTCGCCCTGCAGGAACGCATTGGAGACGTCCATGGAATCGATCTCCATGTTGTCACATGCGCCAATGTCGAGGGCGGCGCGAAGGGTGGGTGGTTTGGCGGTGGGGGCGTAGGTGAACCAGTAGTCCTCGGCCCAAGTCTGCGTGAACCCCTTGGCGCAGTAGCGGGCCTAGTACACCGGTTCCTCGCCAGGCAGCTGCTTCACCCGAAAGACCCATTTCTCGTCCACGAGGTTGGCACCGGCTGGTAGGGGGACATTGACAAAGGAGTCGTTGCGAATGAATGCCTCACACTCCAGGAAGATCGCTGCTATCCATTTATCTGCGTCAGGGCAGGTGATGGCTTCCTGGAAGGTGGAGGGAGTGAAGATGGTGGGGGTGGTGGTGGCGCCAAGGACAGGAAAGCCCAGGAAGTCAAGGTAGAGGGAGGCAAGGAACGGAGTGTGCTCCCGAATGTTGAGGAACTCCTCATGGGAGTCCTCAAGGAGCTGAATGGAGGCAGGAGGAGGAGCCCCAAGGATTTTGTCCACCGAGCGGGTATGGATGTAAGGGAGGAGGAAGGGGGAGGAGCGGGAAGTGGCACGGCGCCGCTGCTGCTGCTGGTGCTGCTGAAGCTGCTGCCCTTGTTGTTGCGGCTGCTGCGGACCGTGCTGCTGCTGTGTCTGCTGCTGCTAACTGTGCTGCTGCTGCTGCTTCTGTCCCGGTTGCTGCTGTTGCGGCTGCCCTGGCTGCTGCTGCTGCTGCTACTGCTCCGGCTGCTGCTGCTGGTGCTGCCCCGGCTGCCGTTGCTGCTGCTGCTGTTGCCCCTGCTGCCGTTGCTGGTGTTGCTCCGGCTGTTGCTGCTGCTGCCGCGGCTGCTGCTGGTGCTGCTGCTGCCCCTGCTGGTGCTGATCCGGCTGCTGCTGCTGCTGCCCCTGCTGTTGCTGATCCCGCTGCTGGAAAGGAGGAGAATGGGAGGAGGAGGGAGAGGGGGGAGGGGGTGCAGTGGAGTGAGCGGGGGAGGCGGGTGCGGCAGGGTTGTAGACGTCGGTAGAGGAGGAAGGCGAGAGTGGAGCGGCGACAGGTGGGAGGAGAGGCGCTGGAGGGAGAAGAGGCGGGAGGACGGTGTCGGTCCAAGCGAGGGGGCGAGTGGGAGGAGGGAGGGGGTCAGGAGGAGGGGTGGAGTAGTAGGGAGTGGACTCGTCGAAGACGACGTCAATGCTGCGGGTGAGGCGATTGGTGGGAGGGTGGAGGAATAGGTAGCCAGGGGAATCACGATTGTGCCCAAGGTAGACACACTCCAGAGCGCGAGGAGCGAGCTTGCCAGCAGCGCGGGAGCGGTCGGCCGGTGGAATGAGGACGAACGCCTTGCAACCCCAAACACGAAGGCCTGCGGCGTCAGGCTTGGCCTTGGACCAGAGTTCTGTGGGGGAGGAGGAGGGATGCTGAGGGTGGGAGCGGAGATTGAGGAGGAGGGCGGCATGAATGAGAGCATAGCTCCAGAGGGAGGGAGGGGTGGAGGCGTGAGCAATGAGGCAGCGCGCAATCTTGGTGATCTCACGGATGCGACTCTCAGCGATGCCGTTTTGCTGAGGGGAGTGGGGAAGGGTGGAGGTCTGCTGAATGCCGTATGTTTTGCAGCAAGTGGAGAGAGTATGATTGATGAACTCACCCCCAGCGTCAGAGTGAAGGCGGCCTATGGGACGTTTGAAGTGGTTGCGGCACTGCTCAGCCCAGTTGATGACCA